ATTGCAAGTAGAACATAATTGATTTTATTCACTTTTTAAAAATTTATGTTCCTTGATTTATTTATTCATCCATCCACCATTTCAGCTTAGCCTTTAATGTTACAATTAGCCAAAGTCAAACTCTTGATAAAATATTATAAAAATTTGTTTCCAGAATTTAAAAGATACTTATTTATAAAAACAGAAAAATATAATTTACCCAGTTCATTAGATTCCCCAAAGTTATTTAATGCTACATAAGTGAAATTAATACTTATAGTTTGACTTTTTAAAAGTTTATTTTAGTAATAAAAATATGTATTTTAATACTTTCAAATTTTGACTGCATTATTTTCAAAATTATTGTTCACTATACTTAATTTTTAAATTTACTTTTGTAACATTGTAAAAATTCCGAATGACCCAAATTATTTTTGAAACAATTTTTAACCACAAACCCCTTTTTACAACCATATTAGTTCCTTATTCTTCACATTTATGTAATCTTAAATTTTACAGATATTTTCCTACCATAATAGAAACATTTTATTAAAACTGGAGGCTTCAAAAATTCAAAAGATTTCTTCCCTTCCAAAAAAATATTTTTCTTAAAGTTTAAGTCACCATTGAAACTGTATGAGGGTTATCTCACATTTGGAACCAAGTGTTCTCATAATTCTTTCTTTTCCCCAGCCTAAATGTTTTATTTACTTCAAAATATTATCAGGTAAATTATGCTGACATCTTTCTACTAAACATCCATTTTACACACAGGATTAATGAACATTTCAGACATCTGCAAGTATAAAATATGAATCAAAGTTCTCTTATAACTTAGTTATACAACCATGTCGGGTATAGCTCATAAACCTAGTGGATGGAGCTCCTGAGGTCCTGCTAACAAAGCAAAGGCCCCATAAGTCACACAATTGGAGTTGGTCATTTTACCAGCCTCCATGGACACTCTCAACATTTCCAAAGGAAAGAGAAAAGGTGCCACTTTGGAATAATATTATTAGTAAACAGATAGGGGTCATGTCAATAACATGAAGATAATTCTAATCTAGAGGACAGTTAAATCATAACTGTATCATCTCTGATTAATCTACCCTTGTTAGGAACTATGCTAAGGAGAAATGTTTAAAACCTTATCTATTCTGTAAAGTAGCAAAACAAGCTGGTTGACAAAATAGCAAATGAACACTTGGAAACGATTAAGTTATGATGGAAACACACGTAAGTTAGTACTGATAGCAGAAATGCAAGGTGGAAACCTTGAGATTTAGTTAATATCTGAGTTTACTCACAAAGAATTTAACAAAAATAAAAGTTCATCTGTAGGCCTAAATTCTATATTGAATAATGTTTCCTTGAAATTAGCTAGTTAATATTAAAAAAGGAAAGAGAGCAAAGGAGAGGCCAGACATTATAAGCATGGTCATCTGGGCAGCTTCACCAGGAAGCACAGCTTCACACTCCTTAAGGAACCATGGATCCATTCCCTGCAGACCACTGCGGGGAGGGACTAAACAAAGGGGGGAGATGGGTGAAGTCCAGGTGACACACAGAAGGTGCTTGCCTGTCAGTTGAGCCTAGGGAACAATGGATTGGCTAGGGGGTGGACCCCATCAAAAGTATGCAAAATCTTGAGTTAATTGGTTAGTTTGAAGAAATTTCTGGGTTAAAATCCCCAGACTAATGAGTTTTCATTCTCTCTTTCCTCTTGTTTGCTCTTGCTTTCTCTTGCTCCACAACCCATACTTACCCTTGTACTTGCCTGTTCTCTCTTCATAGCCATGTGGCTTTAGTAGCCGCATGGCCCATGGCCACGCTGACTCCACACACAGGATGCTGGACTGGACTGGACTGAATTCTAATATGGAACAGAAATTCTGGGCAATGGCCTAAATTCTGGCCCTACTGAAGACAAGTTTAGACTTTGTCCATGGCGAGGTGGACAGAGATGGGACCTTGGAGGTCCCCTTAATATTACATAATCAATAAAGCTTTCCACAAAACCCCATTCTTCTGTGGGGGCCTCACGAAATTCTTTTCCTCACGGCACCCCAAGAATTCCACTTCCACTGATAACAATAGTACTACCAAAAGGTGAATCTAATACAGCTCTACTGTTACAGTCCTGTTTTTTCTTTACTTGACAAAATAGATTATCATTGTTTAATACCAAAGTACCTTGTCTATGGATAGAGTTTTTTAAGTTGGTCAAGATTTAAATAAAAACTGAAGAAAAAAAAATTAATGACCTTCGTTTTGCAAGTTACTGATAAATAATCATTGGCTTGCTTTACTTACATTCCAAAGCATCTGATTGAATTTAATCCAAAATTGTGGAAACCATGTGAAAAAAAATGTATTAGCATTTCCCAAAAAGTAAAGTTAAACACAGTTCACCAGTGATGTTTCATGGGAATTATCATATGAATTCTAAAGAAGAATTATAGGTTCAGAAGAACATCTATGTATGTTTGAAGAAAAGTTGTATCATTATTTTAGGAAATTTGGTATGGAAAAAAATAGTTTGAATAAATTTAAAGTTAATTTGCTTTATCACAACAAATTCCAACCTTACATAAGTTAATAAAATAAAAGGGGTTACTAGTTTTAAAGGACGATCTGCTTCATTAACTATGGGTAAAGAGATTAGATTATCAAAATGTGGATAATGGTAAGAAAGAAGTCAACAGGAACAAAGCAGTAAATACTCTTCCACCCACTTGTAGGGTTTCTCCTTGATGATAAGCACCAAGAAAATTAAAAGGACTTGACCAGGAATTTTCATGTCAAGCATGAAATCTGATTTTTCTAAAAAATTTATTCCTAAAAGCACACTCACGTTCCTCACTTAAAATTTTAAAAAAACATTTTATTTGGATGTTTTATAAAATTTAATATTTATTATCCTTTCTTCCACTTGGTAGTTTTATTATAATTATACAATACAAAGAAAACATAACGATTATTTTCACCAAGGCTCATGTAAGATGTCTCCAAAATCCCTCAAATTTACCCCAGCGTGCCATATTGTTGTTCATTTTCTAGGTGTGATGCTGACATGAAGCCTGAGGAGCTCCGTCTATAGCTAGGTGGTCTCTAATCTGTATTTTATGGAACAGAAATTCTGGGCAGTGGCCCTACTGAAAATGATATGGGACTTTGTCCATACATGTAAAAATGAGGTTCAAAGTCCATCTTTACAAGACTTTTCTTTAAAAAAAAAAAATAGGGTTCCACCAAATAATAACAACGAAAGCTAAACCACAAACTGAAGAACCTGGGTAAACAAAGTGATCACAAATGATAGTTAAACTTCAATCTGATGCCATCATTGTAATTACATGATTAATTGAGGAAAAATTCGATATTGAAAGCCCAATAATTGCTTCATACGCTAATCTGAATTATTTCCATTTAATGATAGTTATATTGAGGAACGGGTCCATTTTTCCTTCTGTACTGCTGCCTTGCCATTCTTCCCTAAATATCTCTGCCAAGATTACTCAATGAGAACATTTTTCCCTCACGGTCTCTAAAGGTCTACCCTGGGGGATCTCCTAGAGGATCCAATAGCAGGCACACTCTTAGAAAAAGCACGCCCTACCCACTCCAGTGTGAATGATACCATACCTCAGCACTAACATTGAAATGCACAGGTAAGACATCAGAAGTGGGCACTAAGATAAAAGCATTGCGAGCTATTTCCATACAAGGTCTGATCACATTCACTACCTGGTTATAGAGAACTTCCATTCCAGGAAGCATGGATGTGACATAGTCACAATAATAATGGTCAGCAGCAAATATTTTCTTCAGGGGTGAGGAAAGAAAAGAGGAGAAAAGGCATCTACCATGCAGCAATAATACAGGGTGGGGCAAAAGTAGGGTTACAGTTGTGAGAATGAGAAACAGAGTTTATTACTTTATTATCATTTATGAACTAGAGGCCTGATGCACAAAATTCAAGGGGCTCGGCCCTCACAACCCCAGGCTTCCTCTGGAAGGTTGTCTAGCTGGTCATTCCGCTGTTTGGCCATCAGGTCTAATTAGCATATTATGCTTTTATTATTATAATTGTATCATTTTCTATATAACAACTGTAAACCTACTTTTCCCACCCTGTATTAAATGCCCTAAGTAAGCCTAATAAACAGTAAGTCTTCAAATATCTTAAAAATACCTTAAAACATAGTTAAAACAAAATCTCTCCAGCAACTAAGAGTGCTTTGTAACATAAAGATTATTAAAATAGTAATAATAACAATTATTACTCTTGTTATTTACCTCTATTATACTATTTTTACAATAAAGGATATAAGTTATAGACACTATATCTCCAGATGTCTAAAACCTTAATCAATATATAGAGTTTGTAGAAAACATGACCTCATTATACTGTCCCTTATATTAAATTAAAAGGTAAAATTAAAATCTCAGCCAAGAGAGCAGCTTCCAAGGCCTTAAAAACACAACGACCTTTGGTTCTTACACTATCTTTGGTTCTTTTCCTTCATTCCAACCCTGAAAAATAAATAAATTCAGGACATTAAGATCAGATACATTGTATCTGGACTGAAATCTCATTATTATCAAGTGTATTTAAAATGTCCAGCATTGCCCTGGCCGGTATGGTTCAGTTTGTTGGGCATCATCCCGTGCTCCAAAAGGTTGCCATTTTTATTCCCAGTCAGATCACATGCCCCAGTTGGAGGCTCAGTGCCTGGGTTGGGGACTCGATCCCCTATGGGGGCCATGGAGGAGGCAGTCAACCAATGTTTCTCTCTCTCTCTCTCCCCCTCTCCCTCTAAAATCAATAAAATCATATATTTTTAAAAAATGTCTAGCGTTACATATGAACTCTGAACTATTAACATAATTTTGAATGATCAATCAGATCATTTTAAAAGCTAAACCTTTAGAAAAAATATTGCTACTTTACATTCTAAAGCACGGATTATTATAATACAGTTCTCAGCCAGTCAGTAGAGGACCAAATGCAGCAAAAAAACATACTACAGTAAATGTATTTAAATTAGCTTAGAAAATTACATGGAGTTAACACATTGCAAACAAATGTTCAAATCTACTGAATCATGAGGCTGTTATGTGAACATCCAGAGCTACAATAAGTCATATACAGTATAATACAGGCATGTAATAATGATAAATATGTTAAACAACTTTCAATTTTGCTAGTTAACAAAAAATCCCTTTTAAGTTGTTTTTGGCATGGTGCTGGAGGCTCTGTCCAATGACTGGAGGCGGGTCGCTGCTTCTTTGCAAGGCCAGAGCACGGAGCACTCAGAGACTTCGAGAAGGTGCAGTCAGAACGTCGGCTTGTTCATGTACTCTTCCAGGGTCTGCAAGAGAACAGCAACTTAGAACAGCTTCCCTCAAGCCACATCCTGTAGCAGACTGTGAAGTCAGTTCTGCATTCCTTTGCCATTACTGAAAGGCAGTGTTGAAAAGTTCGTGTGGACATAAATCTCTGCATTCTGATCAAGAAGGGTGGTTCCAAGTTTGAGTATCATTCGTATACACACCCATAGGGCTCAAACTAACTAACGATCAGCTGAGGAGAAACTATGCTGGATCACAAAATGAATGTCCGGCAAGAGCAACGCTAAAGCAAACAGCTGCAAGATATCACTGCTGACTTCAGAGAAGTGCGCCTGCTAAAATGATCATGAGGACTATGCCAGGCACAGGTATGAGAGAAATCGAATTCTATTTGTGGAACATATTCAGCGTTACAGATATTATACAGAACATCTTCCTTACACTTGTTGCCAAGATATATCAAATAAACAACCATAAGTCTTAAGATTTCCTGCCTTGTATCTTGAGGAGGCTTTCCTCCAAAGTATACAATTATGTGTCTTCATCTTCCTCAACAGTTACCAGGTTTGTGACATGCCACAGGCCATGGTTTTTGTCCAGACTTTTTAAATGCTTAAGCGGCTTCGCAATGACAGGCAGCGTTCAAAGCTACGGTGATGTTGCAAGTCCATACCAGGCACGATGGATGGACTTTTCTCTTGCACTCTTTC